GGAACTGGGAACTGGCACTGGGAACTGGGGCCACTGGGAACTGGGACCAGTGGGAACTTGGTACCAGGAACCGCTGGGAACAGGGAGCTGGGAATCGCTGGGCACTGGGAAACACCGGGAACTGGGAACCGCTTGGAACTGGGAACGGCTGGGAACTGGGAACTAGGAACAGCTGGGAAAGGGGAACTGGGAAATGGGACTGGCAGTGAGAACTGGGACCACCAGGAACTGGCACTGGGAACTGGGACCACTGGGAACTGGTACTGGGAACTGGGACCACTGGGACCTGGGAACTGGCACTGAGAACTGGGACTGGCACCAGGAACTGGGAACTAGGAACCGGGGACCGGGAACTAGGACTGGCACTGGGAAGTGGGAACTGGGAACTGAGATTGGCACCTGGAACTGGGAAATGGGAGCTGGGAACCAGCACCAGGAACTGGGACAGACACTGGGAACTGGGACAGGCACTGGGAATTGGGAACTGGGAACCAGGAAATAGTACTGACACTGGGAGCTGAGACCACCACTGGGATCTGGGAACCAGGAACTGGGAGCTGGGACTGGCACTGGGAAATGGAACTGGCACTAGAAACTGGGAACTGGAACCAGCACTGAGAACCAGGAACTGGGAACCGGGGACCAGGAACTGGGAAACAGGAACTGAGAACTGGGACCAGCACTGGGAACTGGGAACCAGCAGCAGGAACTGGGAACGGCACTGGGAACCGGGACTGGCACTGGGACCTGGGACTGTCACCAGGAACTGGGAACTGGGAGCTGGGACTGGCACCAGAAACTGGGAACTGGAACCAGCACTGGGAACTGAGATGGGCACTAGGAACTGGGACCAGCACTGGGAAGTGGGACCGGCACTGGGAACCAGGAACTGGGAGCTGGGAACTGGCACCGGCATTGGGAGTTGGGACCAGCACTGGGAACTGGGAATTGGGACCAGCACTGGGAACTGGGAACTGGGACTGGCAACTGAGAACTGGGACCGGCACTGGGAACTGGGAATTGGGACCGGCACTGGGAACTGGGACCGGCAACTGGAACCAGCACTGGGAACCAGGAACTGGAACTGGCACTGGAAACTGAGACCATCACCAGGAACTGGGAACCGGGAAGCGGGAACTAGGACTAACACTAGGAACTGGGAACTGGAAACTGTGGGAACCAGGAACTGGGACTGGCACTGGGAACTGGGACCATCACTGGGAACTGGGAACTGAGACTGTCACCAGAAACTGGGAACTGGGAACCAACACCAGGAACTGGGACCAGCAGTGGAAATGGAGAACTGAGAAACAGCACGGAACTGGGAGAACTGGGAACCAGGAACTGGGAACCAGGAACTGGCACAAGGAACTGGGAACTGGGAACTGAGACCAGCACTGGGAACCGGGAACTGGGAACTGGGACCAGCACTGGAAACTGGGACTGACACAAGGAACTGGGAACTGTAAACTGTGTGAACCAGCACTGGGAACTGGGAAGTGGGAACGGCACTGGGAACTGAAAACTGGGACTGGCACTGGGAACTGGGAACCGGCAGCAGGAACCGGGAACTGGGAACTGGCACCAGGACCCGTGACTGGAACCCGCCACTGGGACGGGGCCCCAAGACTGGCACCAGGATCTGAACTGGGAACTGGGACCTACCACTAGGAACTGGCACTGGGACTGGGACTGGAACCCAGCAGTGGGAGCAGGCACCAGGACTGGGAATGGGAACCGGTACTGGGAATCTGGGAATGGGAACTGGTACTGGGAATCCTCACTCCCCACTGCTAGGAACTGGGGCTTGGCACCAGCTGGTGAACTGGGAGCCCCACTGGGGACTGGGATCATCTGGGAAAGAGGCCCATCAGCGGGAACGGGGCCTGGCACCGCCCGGGTGGGCAACTGGGATGGGAAACCAGCAGGGTACTGGGAACTGGGACCTCCCAGGTGCTCGGACCAGCATTGCCCTGGCACTGGATACTGGGACAAGGCCCCACTGGGAACTGGGCGAACTGGAACGCTGGGCACGTAGGGGGAAAATCATGGAGGGGTGCAGGATTTGGGTGCAAAGGTGACATCCTGCCCCAACCGGGAATGACGTGGGGTTGAAGGAGATGTCTTTATCCAGCCCGAGACCAAAGTTATTCCCCTTTTCTCTTTTGCAAGAGGGAAACTGAGGCACAGTTTTACCGTAAATTAGGCCAAGGAGAGGTGGCGAGGGAGGAACAATTAAAGAAAACGGTTGTAAATGAGAGGAATAAACGTTTCACGCTCAAATGTACTCAGATTTTACGACCCATTTCGTTACCTACTCCATTTGTGCAATGCTCAAGTTACCATTATTCAAATTCATTTATTTCATTAAAGAAATTGGGAAAGCCAAAAAACCTGTAGTTGCGCCAATCATCGATTCGGTTGGGAGAGACTTTCAAGATCATCGAGTCCAACCTTGCTTTTCTCCGCAACAAAAAGTCTTTTTTTTCTAATGTTTTCCTTCTCTTTTTCCTTGTTTTCCCCTTTCCCCCTGCAGACCTCAGCGCTCCCAACCAGGTCGGTGTAAGGGGTCGTGTTGGACGTTCCCCTTTTCTCTCCCCTCATCAAAAAACCACCAAAAAAAAAAATCATCAAAAATCACAAAGGAAAATAACCCTAAAAAAAAAATAATCACTTAGGAAAGTCAACCCAAAATTTGGGAGCCCATATTTATATTTAGGAGCCTGTGTTAGTTGCGTAGCCCGGCCCTGCGCAGTGCATGGTGGGAAATTCCAGCAGCAAACAGCAAAGACCAAAATAATAAAATAGTGAATTTTTAATTTATTTTTAAAAAAAAAAAACAACAAAAGACAAACCCTCAGTTTCTGAACGTTTGGAAAAGGAGACCCCACTCAGCTCTCCAACCCAAAGCCCCAAATTGTCAGGAGCATCAGGCAGATTAGGGCAGAGATGGACACACCAGAGGTCATTAATTGATTAATAAATAATTATATAATTATTAATTGATCATGTAATTAATGCTTATTTAATTATTTTAAAATTAGTAATTAATTAT